GGAAATCATTTTTTTTGTACTCTATGAACTTAATTTTAGTTTTGATTGTATGTTCCAACATATATCAAGAACCAAAAGCACCTTAGAGAAAAAAAATTGTCAGAATGTGGGAATAAAATAAGAATTTCATATGCATAAAATCAGAAGGTAGACATCTCTACAGTAGACCAGGTGTAGATAGTCTGCTCTATAAAAAGACAGGGAGGAGTTTCCAGGGGTAGTGGACATGGTCTGTGTCTTTGTGTGTATGTGTGTGATATCCATGTGAGGGTTGATTGACTTGAACAACCTACTGACCATATTGATGTGTGATCACACTTACCTGTTTTAAAGGTAGAGGAAAGAACCATGTCCTAAGTAGCACATAGCAATGAACTGCAGTACCTCTGAGCTGTGGGCTTCAGAAACACCTCTACTATCTTCAGTTCAAACTGGTAAAAAGCCTCCATGAATAGAGCCACTGTGGCAATCTGTCTTGTGACCTCAGCCACATAAGAAGGTGGCTGCTACTAACTCACCTTCTTTAATGGGAGCTCAAAGGTCTTGGGATGGAGATTTTTGGAATCTATATGCACTACTTGATGACAAATAGTGCTCTTGTTGCAAGTTCCCGAAGTTTGCAAGCAAGGATGGACATTTCTGGTCACATCAAGGATGGCATTCCTTTCAGACATGCTTATTACATTGGATAAATTCCAGCATTTCATCTGGGGATTTACCTATTTATTCTCCTTTAAGTTCACACCCTGTGATCCAGGCCATTGGATGAACTGTTGGCTGTTTTGCTGACAGAAAACTCAAACCTTTACTGGGAATTGCTCTACAAGTGAAAAAGTAGTCCCCTTGGTTCTCAGAATTCTTGAAACAAAGGCACAGCACATACCCACAGTATTAAGTGAGCTTTTTAATCTGTATTTTCTTGGTTGTTTTCTTTCTGTTTAAGTAGATCAAGATCCAACTCCAAGGCTACACATCCTTGAAGCTGCCCATGATCTTTTCAGGCAGTGTTGCTGATGTACTACTGCCATACTGACACACGTCATTGGGTTATCAGTAGTTACCTAGAATCTGAATTGATCAGTTACTGCACTTGTGCTTTCTAATAAAGTCTCTCAGCTTATAGCTATTTGTGTGACTCATGACTTAATAAAGCATATTAAACAAAGTAGTCTCAATAAATGCTTACTGGGTTGCATTGTAGCTATTCATGAAATAAATTTAATTTTTGGTTAAAAAAACTTTTATGTAATTATCCTGAGATGCAACTCAGTAATTGATCGCATCTAGTAATTCTAATTATTTTTGTTTTGTTTTACTTTTTGAGACAGGGTTTCATTATGTAGCTGTGGCTATCCAGGAACTCATTATGTAGACTAGCTTGGCCATGAACTCACAGAGATCCTGCATGTACCTCCAGAGTGCTGGTATTAAAGACATGCACCTCCAAGACCCTGATTTAGAAAAAAAAAAACAAAAACTTTAGTGTTTTATGTCTACTGGTCCTTTATGTGTCAACAAAAATTCTGAAAGAATTGCACATGTCCAAACAAAATAAAGTCTTTATCACAACATAGCCTTGAAGCTGACTTTTCTTTCTGGGTCAAGAATAAAGGATATAAAATGTCACATTAGTCACTGGGGATGAGGTATTACAGCAAAGAATACATAATGAACCCAAAGTAGGCATGAGTCAAAGTATGATGGATCAAGAGACTAGCGCATAAAACTCTGGTGCTGAGGGCTGAGGCCAGCATCACTCTGACCCTTCCATTCTCTAACAGTCTAGCAGGGTGGAACACTGCATTTGTCTTAGTCCCTTGGTGCTGGTGAGGACAGTGTTTGCACAAATCAGGTAGAGTGAACCCTGGGATTACTGGAAAACTGTTCTCATTGGCCCTCTTTTCTTGTCCTTTCTAGGGTCACTTACATCACACCTGCTCCCATTGCGATCTGCTTCCTGTGTTGACCATGCCGGGGTGGAGCTGCCTGGTGACAGGAGCAGGAGGGTTTCTGGGCCAGAGGATCATCAGCTTGTTGGCTCAGGAGAAAGAGCTGCAGGAGGTCAGAGCCCTGGACAAAGTCTTCACACCAGAAACCAGGGAGGAATTCTCTAGTAAGTAAGCCAGAGGCTGTTTGTGTGATGGCTGTGAATGCTGACTGGACATTGAGGGGGCTCCGTGTCTAGCAAACACGGAGCACATGGAACGTAACTCTTCTCCCATGCTCACATTCATCAGGAAGAACCATGACAACACAGCAAAAACTACATCCCACAGCTGTTGGGAGGCTAAAGTCTGACTTATCCCAGATCTAGAGAAGGCAGCCATGAGGACAAGTGATGGACCTCCAGGCCTCTGACCTTCTTCCCATTGGGAAATGTCCCCTGTTCTCTCTTTTTAATGTGCTGTTTTGGATTTATAGATTCGTACTATTGTAGATTTGTTTAGTGCTCCACAGCATCAGCAAGGTTCTGGGGTTGGAGACCTCATCAGTAGATTACTGCCTTTCTTACTTGTCCTGGGGCTGGTTGGCTGATCCTTTTCTTATTATATTTTACAGAGGAAAGCCATATAGCATCCTCCTGTGGAGTTGGAAAAATAAAAAAGTGAGGCTCTTTAAGTGAGACAGAGAGACAGAGGGAGCAGAGACTGAGAGCCTGCATCAGGCAGAGCATACGCAGGACAGTACAAAGAGCAGAGTCAGGTGAGGGCCAGCAGGGCCCCAGATGCCTCCCCTGGACTCCTCCAGCGTCTTTCTAATCATTCCTCTCTGTCCTTCATCTTGACAAAGAAAATGACAGCAGACCTTGCTGGAGCAGCACCTACTTCTCTGCTGACATAGCTATCCCTAGGGTAAAGTGTGGTTTCCCAGCAGCCTTATCCTCACATCTTCAAGATAACCCTGCAGTGAATGAGGAAAAAGGCTCAGGCATGAGGACTATAGCCTCAAGTTTTTCTCGGGTCCTGCCTGGCCCCCCAGCCATGCATTCCTCTAGTCCTGCCTGGCCCTGAGTCATTCATTCCTCTGGTCCTGCCTGACCCCACAGTCATTCATTCCTCTGGACCTGCTTGACCCTGCAGTCATTCATTCCTCTGGACCTGCCTGGCCCCGCAGTCATTCATTCCTCTGGACCTGCCTGGCCCCATAGTCATTCATTCCTCTGGTCCTGCCTGGCCCCACAGTCATTCATTCCTCTTGTCCTGCCAGGTCCCATAGTTCCTCAGATCCTTATAAAATAATCATTCAGAGGCTTAATATTAATTACCAATTGTATGGCCTATGGCAGGCCTCTTGCTAGCTAGCTCTTATATCTTAAATTAACCCATTTCTATTAATCTATATTTTGCCCCGTGTTCCCTGGCTTTACCAGTCTGCTGGAATGTTGCTCCTTGGGCGGCAGGCTGATGTCTCTCCAGATTCAGCCTTTCTCTTTCCTGTCTCTGTCCTTGGATTTCCCAACTACCTCTAAGCTGCCTTGCCATAGGTCAAAGAAGCTTATTTATTAACAGATAGGAACAACATATATTCACAACATACAGAAAGATGTCTCCCAGCAGAGAACAGTGTTAGGGACTCGTGTAGGTTGCATGTGACACAATGCTAACTCTGTGGGATAATTTAACTGCCAGCATGGCAGTCAGTGTCATCCTATGGATGTCAGAGAAGCATGAGGATACTGATTTATCCACTGCCCTGGCTTAGTGCCTGCAGTGCAGGTCTCTTAGTGGCTGGCTGGTGTGCAATGCACACTTCTGATATCTGCCATATGGTGACAAGCGAACCCATCATAGGAGCCCATTCTGAGTTCTCTCACTGGGGCTCCAGTTTCCTCTTTGTAATTGAGCTCACTCTTTATTTGTGCTCAGCCCAGACTCAGAAAGTATCAAGACCTATCAGGTGCAGGGCTGAATTTTCCATCA